TTATTATTATTATTAAAAAAGAAAATGTTATTAAGAATATATGTATGGTATATTGTTACATAAGCACACAAACCATAGGCAGATAGGTAACATATTAACCATTGGTCTCATCCCACTGGTCTCCTCATAAAACCATTCCATTTCTAAATTAAACGTAATTCGTGTTAAATGCACAACATAACCAGTCAAACATACATAGCATGGTGTATATCGATATTAATTAATTTATTACAAAGAGAACTACCAAGGATCGATCTCAGTTTCCAAACATACGCGAATATTGGCAGTTGCATTGCATCAATGGCAGCATGAATGTGAAATTGGGAGATGAATAGATGATGTAGCTATTACTTTCCATGTTAGATGTAGTACTAGTACCAAATTACCAAACATTCAAAGGAGTTTCATGGACGCTATAGCTATCCAATTGCTGGATTAATTTTGATGCCAGTTAAATTTGCACAACTTGTACTCTACTTAGGTGGTAGTGGTTGCATGTGCAGCGACCTAACTTAGATAAAGTTACATTTATTGGACCGTACATATGTCGAGTCTCATGCATCTGTGCATATATAATCTTTAGCTAATCGTTTGAATAATCTCCCTCGTATTATTAAGGATAAGTTTCCTTTTTTCAAGCCACCAATATATATACCTAATCTATCTACCAATCAGCAAAAACTTAATTAGTTAAGACGTATAAAAACATATTAATATTTTGCTTGATTTGAAAAAAAATGGAGAGAACGGAAGTGAAAGTTTTTTGTTTAATCAATTTAAAATTTTAACCTAACATCTTAATTTCATTGAATAAAATTTTTTTTCTCTTTCCTCCCTTTTCATCCATTTCGCTCAAAGCAAATAAGCTATAAAAGATTCTATGATTTTATCATCTTTTTTCTTGATAACTCTTGAATTAATTCATTGAAAAAAAAATCTTTGTTCAAGTTGGAATTTAAATCGACCAGGTAGGCAACATTAATTAATGTGACTAAAACAAATTGTTAGATGAACTGGCTCGAAAGATATTCGAGTGACATTGCACTTGATTTTACTGTTCAGATCCCATGAGTGCACAATTCTGCAACCTCCAAATAAGTTGAACTAACTCGAATGCACGTGTGTGCATGTGTATGTTTCTTTCCGTCTTAAAACTCAGGAAAAATGAATATTTTGTCTGAAAATAGTTTCCCTTCATGACCATTTTTTTAAAAATTCTTATTTTTGTGCATATAGCAAACCCTTGAAAAAGCATAAAAAATTTTCAGTCGTTTATATATATAAAAGCTCGCTGGCATGATATTGCAAGTACTATTGCACCTAGGTTCGTGATGAAGCAATATCTTTGTTGTATATGCATTAGTTCCCCAGCTAGTCTACAACTGCCTTTTATATATATTTATATATATATCTTTTTCATTATATTAGAGAGTTAATCGTTTGATATTATAAAAGTACAAAATTTTAAATTTAATTTCAAATTAAAATTTTTAAATTTGTAAATATTAACTCAACTAAACTCTTATTAGTCATTTCTTAGATCTCTACTTGATCACTATGAAGCAAAATTTTTTGTATTTCATCACCTCTCCTTCTCAATGTTAAGAACTTTATATTTTTAAGGTGCATTAATTATTTTTTTCTTGTATAAAACTATTCTAAATTAACAAAATAAGATCGTTATTACGAAACAAAAAAAATAACTTAAACAAAGGACTGTTATATTTAAGGATCATTTGTCTACTACAACCAATGAATTTAGGATTGATAATCAAAGAGGATTTTTTTATTTTTTGAACAGTGATAGTCAGAGAGGATTTTCCCTTTTTTGAATGGCGATAATCAAAGAGGGTGGATGGTGGTGTGGTTTGCTGCCTTGTGGTAGCTATGGTTGGCAAGAAATGATGCAGTTCTTAATAAGAAAAAACTTTCAGTGTGGAAGAAGTAAAGGACATGGTGTAGGTTCGCTCCTATTACTAGATTATTGGTTACGATGAAAGCTAGCCATACTCATCATTTGAAGAATGGGAGGTTAATCCCAGAGGATGTTCAGTAGCTAAAATGACACAAAGAACAAAGGTGATGTATGTAATTGCAATATTGCTAATAGATGCATATGGGCAAAATTATTTCTTGCACTCTCTTATTAAAAGTTTGATTTTACTTTTTAAAAACAAAAACTAATTTGGATTTGATAGTCAAAATAAAACAGTTATTATAGTACCCAAAGAGTAATTTTAATAAAAGTAGTAGTCCTACTTTATGATTTCACAATTTTCTTACCTACAAGTCTCCATCCGAACGGTTTTGCCTGTTCGGTGGGTTCTTACCTTTTTTATGCGAATCATATATGTATGTGAAACTGGAATTAAAGTACGGAGCAAGGCAGCTTTTGGAGGTAGATAATCGTGGAGATCCTACATGACTTTTCAATGGCACTGTGGGACTCTGTTTATGCGACATCATTTTCTTTTTGATGTTTTGTTTGCCCTTTGTCCCATCATTGTGCGTACTTGGATGGCAACGGCCCACCTCACCCATAAATACTACATTCTGTATCTGTAGGTTACCCCAACGCGTTCAGATATGGAGATCGAGCAAAATCCATTTGGGCCAACTGTATCATATTCTCGTGGGCTTAACAAGACTTATGAATCGGACCAAATTTGGGCTAATGCTAACGCAAACCCGCGTTACCAATTGACACAAATGATTTCGGCCTTTCTAAAAGTTGTCTGGATCTTCTTCTCCTTCTTTATTATTATTTTTTTAAATATACTTCCTCCGGTGGGATATATTGTTTTTATTTTATTTTAGGATAAAATTTAATTAGGTAATTTTATATAATAAATAAATAATAATTAAAATATTTTTATACATAGTTTTTAAAAAATATTTTTATTTAAATAAAAAATATTTTAATTATTATTTGTTTATTGTATAAAATTATTAAATTTATTTATTTAAAATTAAGGGAGTGAGACAACTAAAAAAAGATCAAGGGGGGTAAGGAGTACACAGACATGGATAAACACTTCGTTTTTTGTATTGTATTGTATTTCATTTTGTTGTATTTATAAGTTTTATCTTTTATTATTTAAAAATATTTAAATATTAATTAAAATTAATTATTTTAATAAATTTATATTTTAAAGTAAAGTATTGCAAAAAGAAAAAAAATTCTAAACAAAGGTAAAGTCCTTTTTCTTTCCTTTCGGATTCCAACATTCCAAGCAATCAATTCCCCACATAAAAAGGAAAAAGAAAAAACGATGACACAACCAAACTGATAATGTCAATCAATAGTAATGAAAAAGATAGTGGGTGCTTGCTAGCTATGAATCACTTTTGTAAATATAAATACAAACCCGAAAACTATACATATATGAGAAAGGAAAAATCAAAAAGCAACGCTCTCCGTGTTGAAAGAGAGCGGCTTTATGTGATTGTGGAGACCATTTCAAAGTGAAAGGGGAGAAATTTTTTCATGGAACGTAATGTTAGGTCAGTAATATTTTTATTTGTTAATGCAAGAATAAAATATCAAATATGAACAACACTTGCAATTAAATAATTTATTGTAATTTAGTAAATAATATTTATTAGTATAAATGTAGCCACCCTAATTAATTTCTCGTTACGTACATTAATCTTTTATCTCAAAATAAATGATATTTTTTATTTTTTATTTATTTTAAATTAATTATTTTTAAAATTTTTTAAGATAAATAAATATTTTTTTTACTTTAATTTTATAATTATCTATTTACTTTAACTAATCATTCAATTATAAAAAATCTCTCTTTATTTTTTTTAAGAATATCTTAAATAAATATAAATATTGTTCTCAAATTTTTAGTTTTAAAAAATTTTAAAAATAATAAATAAAAATATCACTAATATCCCATTATATAAAAGTATTTCTCCAAAAGAAGGGGAATGGACATGAATTTTGTCCTGCTAGCGCCAGCATGGAATATTTGTAGTTATATATTTCTATTCTAATATATCTATTTGGCATTTCAAACTGTCTTTATTAATTAATTAATTAATCTAAATCATCTTGCAACTAATTAATTATCATTCCTATTGTTATTCGACCCTACTAACCAAGCGCGTCTAGCGTGGAAGATATGTTAGGCAATCATTGACAATAATGGAAAAGTTAGTTTTATATTCTTTAAAAGAATAATACATAAGCCAAACTCTGAACCAAGAAAAAGAATGCCTAAGCGAAACACGTACGGTTATTGGACTGACAAATCTTTGTGTTGAGGAAATACACATAATTTTTAAAATTTTAAATTCAATTGGGTAACAGTGATGGATATTTATAATTAGAAATTAGTGTTTATTTGTCTTATTTTTAAAAAATTAAAAGTAAAAAAAATAAAAAATATCTTAATTCATGTTTTACAAATAATATATTTTAATCTTTTTTAACATATGTTTATTAAAATTACGTTGTTTTAAAATAATATTTCTCTTAATCTTTAAGAGGTAAGGCGAATAAGACAAATAAATACTATTCTCTTATAATTATATACAATTTTATTCACATTATCTTAACATAAGATTTGAGACATTACATTCTTTATCGTAATAAGAATTACTCAACAAATGTCAGCTCAGCTTAAATGAGTTTTTTTTTTTTCTGTATTTGTGATCAATGTATTTTTAGATTAATTTTTATGTATTTTAAAATTAATTTTTTTAAAATGATCTTAAGAGTTAACGATAGCAATTTTCCTTAATCCTTACAGCCCTCATAGGGTTTCCCACTACGGGGGCAGGGAGGCGACAGGTAGCATATTTTTTGTGTGAAATTTTACGGAAAATATTTCCCACCCATAGGGATCTTGTTCTTTGTGAAAAAATAAAAAATAAAGAAAAAATATTAAATTCAACACAATTTAAATATCTAATTCATAGTAATAGGCATACCCATTACTCATTTTTAATTTTAATTTAATACTAAAGGCCAATTATTTTAAATCAAACTAAATCCTACACTTTTTTTTTTACTTTAACCCAACTATTTAAAATACTTTGATTTAAATAATAAAATAAAAATAATTAAAGTAATTTTATAATATAATTGACAAGGAGTGGGAAATCCCTACGGGGTAACAAGGACAGGAGGCTAATTCTACCTCCTGTCAAAAATCATTAAGGAAATCCTCATTCCTCTGATTCGTAAGGATGATTCGTAAGGATGGGAATGGGGAGGCACTCCTAATCCTTACAAGGTTTTGTTGCTATCTTTATCAAGAATATAGTCCTTATATCAACTTAATACATTTAAAGGAATTAATTTTTTTTTATGCTAAATTTAATTTCTTTTGATGCTAAATCCAAAACTTAAACCTTAAGTTTGGTTTATAAGACAACATTTATTCATTTGTAGATTTAACCCTTCAAGTTATAGCAGCCTAATTGGTAAAAGAGTTTATTTCATATCTTGTCAATAAAACTGTAATTTTTCAGCACAAATAGTTTACATTTAACTAGAGCAAAGAGGTAAACTTAACTTTATACACAAACGTTGATGACCTGTGATACTACCTAATCTCTAAAATGAAATGTGGTGAACTTTGAGAAAAACCTCAATGAGAAATCAATGTTGTGTGAAGTCTACCTCTGCTAAGGTTCTCCATTAAAGAAACGGATGGCAGTTCTATTCTCTATTTGCAATATCCTTTATCATCACAATTGCAAATTGGGATATAACTATCATCCTCATTTTTCTTTTAGAAAAATTTTAATATCTTTCTCTAAATAGAAGATTACACCACAAATTTTTTTTTTTTTGATAGTGAAGGGTTTTTTTTTTATATATATTTGAATTGCATAATAAGAGATTTTTTTTTTTCCGATTTTTATGTCCACTCCATTTATATGTCTATGATTTAAACTTAGAATTTCTTATTCTATTTAAAGGAAAAATTACCACTAAACCATTTAGTTTATTTTTTATACAAAATTTAAGAAAATTATATGCCTGAAAGTCAGGCAATTAATTGTAAGAGCTAGGGAGTGAAATGAGAAAATTAAAAGGTATCTCTAATGCAGTGGGACTGTGAGACTTTTTTCTCCGCGCTTTTCTTATTCCACACTTGCCCAGCTTAATTACTTATCTCACCCTGCTTCATACTTAGATGGTTAAAAGAAAATTGATCTTTAGTATGTACTATACTTTTTAATTAACTTTTATCATAATGTTCTTATTTCACTTGCCATGGACCTCTCCGTACTCACAATTCTATCAAACTCTTTTTTTAACAACTAATCACACCAAGATTGAACCATTAGCTTTGATATCACTTATTGAAAAAGTTATAGAAACATATGAGTGTGAAAGCACGAATACATACAAGAAGATATCATATTAAACTCAAAAGACATATTTATATATTAGGTTCATGGGTCTCCTACATATATATATATATATATATATTACATTCTAACACCTTATTTCTCATCAATGTACATAATTAATATATATCTTTGCACATTACTCAACTCAATTTCACTAACATGTTCATATAGTCTAACACATCTCAATCACACAGCACATGTACAAATGGGAAAAGCATTTTGGAGAATTTGTGCTTCTTTTGTATCATATCAATTTGGTTTTGCCCTTACGTCAGCTAATGGGGTTGCAGATTGGCTAGCAAAGATGACTTTGCATGACCAATTAATGTCCATTTTGCTGGGCATAGGATCCTCCTCCGATGTTGAGGAGATTGCTTTGTAATGACTACTCACATTAAAATAATTCCATTTTGTGTTTAAAAAAAGAAAAAAGAAAAAAAAAACACTAATTCAGACAATTACAGCAAACACATACACGGTTATTGTTGCACTAACATTTGTTTTTTGAACAATCCAAACTGCAAAACACAATGCATAGACATGGGACAAATAAATCATTTAATCTCTACCAGATTCATACTAAAAAAACAATACATATTCATGGTACAAATAAAAACAATATTTATTTCGCGTTTAGGTTCAAGTTTGAGATGATCATCTAAACTGCAAAACCAATGCATATTCATGGTACAAATAATTCATTTAATCCCTACCAGCTTCATAGTGAAAAAACAATACATGTTCATGGTACAAATAAAAAATAATATTTATTTCGAGTTTAAATTCAAGTTTGAGATGATCATCTAAAAAAAATAATTTTTTTAAATATACTAAATCGATTTAAAAGATACCTCTTTAAAATTTTTTTTCAAAGATTACTTTTAAAATACATAATAATTGATTTAAAGATATCATAATTATAAATATAAAATATATATATTTAATGAAATTGTAATAACAAAGTACAAATATGCAACATGCCAACATCATTTGGATATACATAATTTGATATTTTTGAATTAAGCTGATTGGTCATTTTTTAAGATGAAGTCTTATTTGATATTTTTGAATGTGATACAAGATTGCAAATACAGTGAAATTAGTTGCGTGAAGAGTTTCAGAATACCGCATGTTATCCAAGAAAAAAAAAACTACTACATTAAAGTACAAATGTGAGATCAAATCCAGAAATTTGCGACTTTTCGTGCTAGACAAGGCCTTCTTTGGAAAAAATATATATTGTGTGTAATATTGTTTAAATTGTATTAGGTTATATTATATTAATTATTAAATAAAAATAAATTTTTTTAAAGTCTTTTTTTTGTTTAATAATTTTTATTTTATTATTCAATATAATTTATACTATAAAATAAAATTTTTTACCATATATATTTAAAAATATATATATAATTTAAACTCTCTTAGACAATATAATTTTAATTATTAAATAGATTGACCTCTTAATATTGAATTTTTGTTTATTGACTTTATTCTATTATATAATTTATTACTGTGTGAACACTAAAATAAAAAATTATACTTATATACTTAGCAGAGAATATTTTTGTTTGTTTTATTATTTTTTCACATAGCAGAGAATATTTCCGTTGGCTATGATTATTACCCAAAAATAAAAAGTAAGCTTTCCAGACTGGCGATGACTAAGGAGGACCCCTTGCCATTTTCCACGTTGTCTTTGGACAAAAGCAGTCGTAGGTTTAGAATAACATTGGCTTTTGCAATTTGGACAATTGTATTTTGTAGTAATTGAATCTATAGTCAGTTGTATTACAATTCACAATATTCCAACTCCAACTGTAATCCCTTGTTTGTTCCCTTCAATCCTCCCGCGAATCTCGCTTTATCCTTCCTCCTCCACCACCTTCTTTCTCTCCCCCTTTAATCCCAATTCTAAACCCCATTATGCGTCTTCAACCCCATTTGTTCCTCCCTCTATATCCTTTGTTTTAGACCCAGAAACAGAGGGAGATCCGAGTCAGGATGGCCGAGGGAGTCGCCTGCCGCGGCAACCGTGCACCGGCTGCATTGATGCTGGACCTAGTTCATGACATTGTGGGGATCTCTTCCGGCGGTTACAGGGGTGACTTCAAGAAGGATTGCACAGATCTGGTGAGGAGGGTTGCGCTGTTGACGTATTTTCTGGAGGAGATCAGGGATTATGTGGGGGCGGTCAATTGGTCGGAGTCTTATCCTTCTTCTTCTGCTTCCTCGTCGTCGCCTGATTGGTGGTCCGATCTGTTGGTGGCCCTCCAGGCTGCTAAGCGACTCCTGTTAACGGCTTCCAGCTTCCATTCCATTGATACCTCTGTAAGCAATCTAATCCAACCCCGTTTGCATTAAAAATTGAAGCTTTTGAAGCTTCAGAACAGATAATGCTGGTTTTGGTTTATTAGATGTCCGTCACATTCCAAATTGGATCTTTTTGTTGTCATCATTTAGATTTGATTGAACCTGTTAAACCCAAGTAAAACATTCAATTAAGACTGTTAAATATACAGAAATGGTTCATTGATTTAGAGGTCATGAAAATGTGGAATTTATCTACTGATGGTTGCTCTGGTGAAAAGAATATGTAGATTTAGAAAATGACATTTTGCATTTAAGAAACTTGCTGTTACTGAAATTCTGTTGTGGTCATCCACATTCTTCTAGAAAGAATGCATGGGTAACTCTCTAAAATTTGCTGTATCTTGATTTAAGGATGGACCTGCCAAGAGAATTTCCTTTCAATTTCAATGCATTACCTGGAAACTGGAGAAAGCTTTGGGGAAAATCCCATATGATCATTTTGACATCTCTGAGGAAGTCCAAGAACAGGTACAAGTAGCAGAAATTTTATGGTGCTTCCCTTGTCTTGATTAAGTCTATGTTCTAATAACTAACAATATGTCCTTGTTTCTTAGGTTGCACTAGTAAGGGCACAATTGAGAAGGGCCACAGAAAGATATGGGTCTTTGAATTCAAGAAATATTTTCAAGTCTCTCTTCCAACCAATTGAGGAAGAAGCCTGTAATACTAATCCTGAAGTTTCTGCAAAGCTGGATATTATTCCACAAAATTTTGGTCCACAAGGAGATGATATTGATAAGAATGTTAAGAAATTGGAGAGATTGAAGAGCTCTTCCATGTCTTCTGAGGTCTGCCCATCAAATGAAATTGATGCCAAAGTGCAAGAGAACTTGGTTGACAAGGATTCTGAGGAAATCAAGAAGCCTGATGCACTTTTAGTTCCCAATGATTTTCTGTGCCCCATCTCCTTGGAACTAATGAGGGATCCAGTAATTGTGGCTACAGGACAGGTATTGTTTACAATCACGGCTCTCATTTATCATTTCTCTATTTTTTTTGTTTTATTTATACTTTTATAGGAAAGCCTTGCTCTTTATCAATCTCCTTTCTTTTGTCTGATTCTTCTTCATTGTGTTCTTGCAGACTTATGAGAGATCTTACATACAAAGATGGATAGACTGTGGGAATTTAACTTGTCCAAAAACTCAGCAAAAGCTGGATAACTTGACACTAACCTCTAATTACGTTTTAAGAAGCCTGATTAGTCAGTGGTGTGCTAAGCATAATATTGAGCAGCCAACAGGATTGATAAATGGAAGGATAAAGAAGAGCGATGGATCTTTCCGTGATATTAGTGGTGACATGGCAGCCATTCAGGCTCTGATATGTAAGCTCTTAAATGGGTGTTCTGAGGAACGTAGAGCTGCTGTAGCTGAAATCCGATCACTATCCAAAAGAAGTACAGATAACAGGATACTAATTGCAGAAGCAGGAGCTATACCAATCCTGGTCAACCTTCTAACGACAGAAGATGTTACCACTCAAGAACATGCAGTAACATCCATTCTTAACCTTTCTATATATGAAAATAATAAGTCACTCATAATGCTTGCTGGAGCCATTCCTTCAATTGTCCAAGTTCTCAGAGCTGGAAGCATGGAAGCAAGAGAGAATGCAGCAGCCACCCTTTTTAGCTTGTCACTTGCTGATGAGAATAAAATAACAATTGGTGCATCAGGGGCAATACCAGCTTTGGTAGATCTGCTCCAAAATGGGAGCCTCAGAGGAAAAAAGGATGCTGCCACAGCACTATTTAATCTGTGCATTTATCATGGGAACAAGGGAAGAGCTGCGAGAGCTGGCATCATCATAGCATTGCTAAGGATGCTAACAGATTCAAGGACTTGCATGGTCGATGAGGCTTTGACAATACTGTCGGTTCTTGCTAGCAACCACGAAGCAAAGGTTGCCATAGTAAAGGCTGGTACCATTCCTGTTTTGGTAGATCTTCTAAGAACAGGTTCGCCCCGCAAGAAAGAGAATGCTGCTGCTATTTTACTCTCAGTGTGTAAGAGAGATCCCGAGAATCTCACATGTATAAGTGGGCTTGATGCTGCCATACCCTTGATGGAGCTTGCTAAGAGTGGCACAGAGAGGGCAAAGCGGAAGGCCGCTTCATTGTTGGAACATCTTCAAAAATTACACCAGCATTAACAGGGTTTAGTCACACCGCAGCCTTGTATCCTCTTTCTTTTTTTCCCTACTTCTTTGTTGATTTTAATTGTTTGATGTTGATTGCCATTCCATTCCTTTCCCATATGTAGTCCGAGGAGATGAGCATGAGACAAATCCATTCTCATTGCTCTCTGTATTTATTTCCTTCTATTTTGAGTGTATAAATATTCATTGAATTTGTTTTTTCAAATAAAGTTCATCATTGAAGGTTGACTTCTTTTTTATTTTTTGATGTCCCAAAGAAACTTAAGACACCTGAGATGTTTCATGCAGGCAAACAACATCAATCTTCGATGCGTTATCCAAATACTGCATTTGAGTGCGATATTGTACTAACTGTATTAGCACATTCAGATAAGTAATCTGATGATAATATCAATACTCAGCAAAATTGTTTTGTTTCTGTCTGGCAAGAATTGTAAAGTATTTTATTTTGCTTGGTAGAAAATTAAGTAAATTATTGATTGGTTACGAACTCCAGACTAATGATTGAAGCAATTATCAGCAGACAAACAGATTGGAATAATTGAAATTATTATGATTCCCTAATGTTTGTATTGAAGAATTTCATCTTAATCATAGCTTCTAGATGACCAAAAAATAAAAAGGCATAGCTTCTAGAATTCATCTCCTGCTCTGATCTTGGGAAACTTTTCTTTCAGTATCGATAAAATTTTGTCAGATCAAAAGGTACTGGATGATGTTTTCACATTAATGGATATTATCCAATCTAGTTGCATCAAGTAAAAAAAAGACCATCTTCACACCTTAATTTTTCTTGGTTAGAAAAAGGGGTTTAGGGTGAGGGATGGTTATTTAGTATCCGTGGAGTTTAGAATGATACTTACAGATCAACTATCCGTCAAAAGGGGCTACCAGAAGGCTGGAACTCAAACCTTAGCAACTGAACCAACTCTCATTTTCGATTCACACCGTAATTTTTTGGTAAAGACGAAGTCTTTTTTCATTTTTCCTTGTGTTGGGACCTCCTGCCCTAACATACTCTCCTTTTTGTCTGTAGAAATTGCAAAGTCAAGCATGTGCTTTCTGGAAAAGGAAACAAATTCCACCATTCAAATCCATATCTAGCTGCCAAAATCTTTAGTTGAAAAGTAGGATATAAAGTTAATCAAAAGAAAATTTGCGGCAAAAGTTTTGCCTTTTAAGTCATGATTATGATAGTCATTACTAATCAATTACAATAAAAAAATGAAATAAAAATCATTCACCTTGAATTTGAAGGCAAATGCAAGGACATTGCACATAAAACATACCCCACTTCGGGGTAAAAATCAACATTTAATCCCTTATCTTAAAAAATTAATAAGTTTTAAGCTCTCATTTTATAACAAGATAGTTTTTGCCTTTTATCTTATAAAATTAATAAGTTTTAGCTCTTCACCGATATAAATTAAAGAAAATAATTCTCGTTTAACATCAGGTTATAATGTTTTGTTAATTTTATTAATTGACTATTAACATCCGTTAGCATTCTGTTATAAAAAAACATGAAATTTAAATTCAATTTTATTTGTTAGTTTATTAACGGAATGTTAACGGATGTTAACAGTCAATTAACAGAACTAACAGTTAGCTAACAGAACTGACAGTCAGCTAACAAAATTAACAGTCAATTAATAGAACTAATAATTAGCTAATAAAATTAATAAAATATTATAACTGATATTAAATAAGAATTATTTTTTTCAATTCGTACAAATAAAAAAATAAAAATGTTGTAATATAAAGTAAAGAGTTAAAACTTATTAATTTTATAAAGTAAAGAGTTAAAATTTATTAATTTTATAAAGTAAAAAATTAAAATTTATAAATTTTATAAAATTAAAAATTAAAAAAATCATATTATAAAATTATAAACTAAAACCTACGTGAAGGATTAAAAATTGGTTTTAGCCCCACTTCTGAAGGTAAGTGCAAGGACATTGCACATAAAACATAACCCACTTCATTTTATAGCAAAAAGTAGAATAAAAGCAGAAGTAAGTTCCCATGTTATCATGACGCAATCCCAACTGTTCTGGTCTGACATGGCGGCGCGTCTTCAGGTTCCTAAAGAACACATTTTCTTGGCTGAAGAAAACAGAGTTACGCTACTGTGGTGTTTTGGAATTGCATGATCAACAATTTTACAGGCAATCGCCAGCTTTTTGGGAATTACTGTAGAAAAAAGACTACTATGATATAGCAGAGAGAAATCAAAAAAACAAAAGTTCATTAAAAAATCGACTGAACTATTCACTAAGCGGAAGACAGTAAATTAAATAGTGAATATTATTAGTCGCAATCTTTAAGACATTAATATTTCGGCTTCCAAGTTGATCAGCCGACTATCAATTTGGACCGTTTGTGTCATTCAAATGTTTGAGAGAAAGATGATGAGAGCAGGGTTGGTGTGGTGTAAAATAGGAATATTTTCCATAATCCCTGTTCTCTCCTGAGGAAATTATTAGGTAATCAACAGTACCAATAGCCAAGTCAAAATTTTTCATGTGAAGGAGCGGAACCACGGAAAATTTATTGAATTTTCCGTCCCATGGTTGAAAACAAGCATCATCCTTCTTTCCACGCATCACGGGACAGAAAATTGTTGTCCCCTTGTTCGGATTCATAAACAATATTTGGTTGTTGAATCTGTTGATTCTAAATATTGTTAATAAGATCATAATAAGGGAAAAAGTAGCTCTTTGATTTTTTGGACAGAAAGTGAAATTGTATATGCATTTTTTTATTTAGTATAGAGTGTTTTCTGATCATTTTTTACATAAATTAATTTTTAAGTAATTTTAAATGTATATTTTTATATTAATTTAGTATATTTTAAACAATTAATTTTTTTAATATTACTCAAAATTTAAATTTTAAGTTTGATTAATAAGTTATAAAATTACAATTCTTTTTTGAACAAAATTACATATTTTTTGGGGAAAGAGAAATGGGGATTAAAGAAAAATAATTTACATAATTCGAAATTGTAATTTACAAAGGTAATTCCACTAATTCGAAATCAATATCATTAAGTTGGAGTGGGAGGATTAATTACAAAATTACAATTTTTTTTTTGAACAAATACAATTACCTAAAGTATTAAGGGAGTGAAGGAAGGGGAGCTACGAGGTGAAAATCAACGCTCGCACCTCCGAGTGGTGTTCCCACTAAGGAACAGAGGCGAACCACTCCGACGTGGAAAAACAGCTACAAAATTACAACTATTTACCTGTGAATCGAAGGTTTTAAATTGTACTTGCTTTTAATTATCTCGTCAAACTTTGGCTAATTTTCAACGAATTGCCTTCTTTGTTGACCTGTGACCCTTTAAACTTCAACTACCCCTAAATCCCTCTGTCCCAATCTTATACCCACCACCAACACCTTGTAATTCTTTTCACAACAGAGCGAATATATATACTCTACTACACCCAGAACAGACCAACCCCAAAGTGCTAGCAAGCAAAAACTCAATTGTGTTAAATTTTCTGAAATAACTTGTGTTGTTTCAGAAATCAGGAAAATTAACATGGGTAATAGCTTGGGAAGGAAGAGGACGACCAAGGTGATGAAGATAAACGGGGAGACGTTCAAGCTTAAAACGCCGGTGAGAGCAGAGGAGGTGGTGAAGGACTATCCAGGGCATGTTTTATTGGAGTCTGAGGCCGTTAAGCACTTTGGCATTCGAGCGAAGCCATTGCAGCCGCACCAGAACTTGGAGCCAAAGAGGCTTTACTTCTTGGTGGAGTTACCGGAGGTTCCCAAAGAGAGAGTTCCGAGGAGGGTTCGCTCGGAGATAAATATGAGTGCTAAAGACAGGCTGGAGGGCTTGATGTTGGCTAGGAGGTCGGTGTCGGATCTCACAATTATGAAACAGGTGAGTGCAGCGTCAACCGAGGAGAAATCAGCGGAGGGTGCAATGAGGGTGAAGATGAGGCTACCCAAGGCAGAGGTGCAGAGGTTGGTGAAAGAGAGCAGCAACGAGGCAGAGGCAGCGGAGAAGATTGTGGATCTTTACATGGCAAACGGCGGCCGCAGCAGTACACCTCAAGCTCCGCATTGGAATGGTGGCCAAGGAAGAGTTCGGGGAAGTCCCAAGACTGGCACGGTATGTAATTTAATTCAGACAACTATCCTAACTTTCATGGAATGTGCTTTTTTTTTTTTTTTGTATTTATGGTTACACAACTTCTTCCCCTCTCCTGGTGGAGAAAGCGGATATTCGAACCCAAATTCTTAATACAATCATGGAAACCCCTTTTTTTCCTATTACCGATGAGTGATGTGATGATATAATTATTTGGGAGTTTTATTCCTCCACTTTATTTATCAAGAAAGGATAATTTTAAAAAATTAATAAAGAGTTAATTATATATAAAAATTAATTTAAAAATACCCTAATCATTAAAAAAGGAAGTGAAGTTGATGCACAAGTAGGTTTACCTGCTGGAGTGGATGGTTTTGCTTTTTTCCTTGTTAGGCATGAGGCTAATGTTCATGCTCATAATTTAGCACGCATAGCCTAGCACCCAACATGGAGTGTGAGAGGATTTGGATAGGAGCTGTTCATGGTCTTGTGTCCCCTACTCATTGAACTTTGTAACGTTTTCCAATCAACGATATTTGTCATTCATTAAAAAAAAAAAAAAAAGTGATGCCTCCTTTTTTTCCATATATTTCTCCACCCTTCTTAGTTAACTAAATTCTTTACTCTAAAGTTTTAAATTCTTACCCAGTTTGACTCTAATTGGAGCAAAACCCTAAAGTTACTACCCGTCTTCTAGTTGTTACAACGTTTCGTTTTTTCTGCCGAAGTAGTTAGCACGTTTTTTTTCTTTTTCTTATTTTGGCTGCGAAGACCCTGGCAAATATTATATGTTGTTGCTTTTCTTTTTGTATTTGTTTTTCTTTTTCGAATAGAGTTCACATTTCATTTTTCTTTTTCGTTTGCTTGATTCCAATTTCCAAGTGTGAATTGTATACTTTTCTACACTGACTTCTATTTTGTCTTCAAACATCGTCTTAATTTTTAAATGGAATTTTTTTATCTGTGTTCTTATACATAAAATAAAATCATATTTATTATATTTTTTATTATTAATTATGTATTAATTTACATAAAAAA